AAACAAATGGGTGTTCAATCATATATCTACCATCATCATACTATTCAAATCACAATAAAACTACATTTCTCTATCAAATCTAACCGTTATGATCAAAATATTAAAAATAACAATAGTTTATAAAGTGCAAAAAAGAAATATATATATATATAATATGCCTACAGTATCACACCCCCATGTACCAAATGTCCATTTTCTGCATTTCATAAAATGATGCAATTTTAAATAATATGTAAAATGTAAATATAAGGGCAATCTAGTTAAATTATCACTTAAATGTGTGAGGAGGGACTTATTTGTACCAAATTAAAACTTTTAGAAATATTTTTTTGTACATCAGGGGTGTAATATGCACTACATGTAAGCATACTATAGGAAGAAATAGCATGAATTGACTTGTTACAAAATATCCCCCCGTTAAATGTGAGATATGCATGATCTTAAAAATTTGACAAACTAAATGGCTATTTTTTTGGTGGAACCAAATGCAAGAGTGGCCTAGAATGCCCCACACATCCCTCCTTTGAAGATGAAAGAATCAATTTCGATATTTTGATCTAGATCAAGACATGTTTTGATCTTGAGTACTCTCTCACAATTTCGATAGAACTTTGTTTTTGAAAGTTATTTTTGTTGACATATTGAGATGATACTTGAGTGTAGTTCTATAAATTGTAGAAAAACTATTGAAATTTAAAAAAAAAAAAAAAAAAAAAAAAAAAAAAAAAAAAAAAAAAAAAAACAGAGCTCGTTTTTGGCAATTTAAGTACCAACTAACAATATTCTAATGGAGTACTATCTTAGGTTTATGTTCTAGGGACCTATCAATCATGTTTTGATGATACGATGAGAAATTAAATATATCTAAAAATTCCAAATATGTGTCCAAAATATATATTCTTAATGAGTGACCAACAACTTTGCAAAACTCAACCATAATGCTAAGTTGCAATTCTTCAATATCTCCATTTTTCTTACTTAAAAAACTCAATAATTCGTTTTATTATGATGAAATTAAAAACTCAATAGTGGGCCAGCCAGACAAATAGCAGTAAATTGTAGAAAAGCTATTGAAAGTTTTGTGAGAAAAAAAAAAAAAAAAAACGTAAAAGAAAAGAAAGTAAAAAGGTTATGGAAGTTTCAGTTGTTCTCCTATAAATTATACAACTAAACTGCTAAATAGATAAAAATTGTAAATGGACCACTTATTCCTATAAAAATTGTAGAACTTCAGGAAATAACGAAGAACATGAATGGGATGCCAATAACTTTAAACAATATGTCTAAAGTTATTGCAAATGAACCACTTATTTATTTATTTATATTTATATTTATTATTATTATTGTATCATTCTATGCACACAGATGTGAAGTTAATAATAAATTAATAATTGATTACCAGCTTGGGTTAATGGACTAATATGTCTAGTTGGGTTGGGTTGCGGCTAATGGACTAATATTGTAGTTGGGTTGGGTTGTGTTTGCCTAATTTCATATTAAGGTCTAAAAATCAGGTGAATGTTGTCTTGGTCCATTACACAAATTCAACATAGAGAACTTGGACTCTTCAAATGGACTAAAAATAAAACTAGATTTGTTTTCTACGATAAGCATGAAGAGGACTCTTATTGACTGAGTCAAAGTTGATGCAATATTCTCTTCGATGAAAATGTAGTGAATTTACTCTCTGTGATTTGATTAGCCTTAGATTGTTGTGTGGTGTGGAATGCTTGGTGTAATTTAATGAATTATTCGCAAAATAAAATAAAAAAAAACTTTCATGTTTGATAAACTTTAAAGCCTTCCTCTTTTGTTTGCTTGCATGACTTTGAATACAGAATTACCACTTATTATAATATGTTATTATATAATATATAATATAATATAAAGTGTCATAGTTACTACTTGTTCATAATATTAATGAAAGTTCACCGACTTTTAAGTCTTTCTCTTTTGTTTACCCATGCACAATGGCCACCTATTATAATATGTTATTATATAATATAATATAAAATGCCATAATTGCTCCATGTTCATATTCATGTATTAATCAAAGTTGACACCTTAAAGTCTCCCTCTTTTGTTTGCTTGAATGACTTTTGAATGCAGAATGGCTAACTATTATAATATGTTATTATATAATATAAAGTGCCATAATTGTTCTTAAATAAAATTTTATGTGTTCTTTGTTTTAGTTGCTTTGCGTTACGATAATTGGCTTGACTGTTCTATTATTGTTTCGTGTCGATTGATGAATTATTTTTGATCCTTTCCTTTCTCCTTCCCATTATTAATTTGTGTGTTATGTCTAAAAGAAATGGTTTCGACTTTGAGACGATTTTAATTTACAGAAAAAAAAAAAAAAAAATTCCATGTTCATATTCAGGTGACTCACTTTTAAGCCTTCCTAATTTGTTTGCTTGCATGACTTTGATTTTTCAGAAGACTACTTTAAATGCACCCATCTCATACCCAAATGCCCAATTCACATAAAGGACTAAATATGAAATCTAAAAAAGAATAGTGGTACATATGAAAACAAAGACATGAAAAGTACTCTTGTTAAAATTTCCAACTCCCTTCCCCGACCTCCATTCCTCGTCTCCTCTTTGTCCTCTTTTTCTCGAGGAAATTTCTATAATCTTTTCAAATTTCTCACTTTTCTACTCTTGATCGACCTATAGTTTTAATTTAAGGGATTATTAGTTTAACTTTTCTTTAGGTTTTAGGGTGTGTGCTCAAGCACGCCCCTATCATTTTCTTTCTTCAAATTTGTTGAGCAAGTTTTATAAAAATGATAAATATTTTACCTTTTTCTTAGTATGAAAAGACAATAATAATCTTATTTATTACTATATAATGTACTATTATTGTTACATATTAGTTTTGGTGTCAAAAAATGTCCCAGAAAATTGTGTGAGGAGGGCAAAAATGAGTTTTTTTTTTTTTTTTTTTTTTTTTTTTTTTTGTAATTAGAGGAGGACATTAATTATTCAAAGGAATATAATTTAAAAAAATGAAAAATTACTGGCATATAATAATAGAAAAAAGAAGAAAAAAAAAAAGGTCATTCGACCCATAGACCACCATTGTTTAGTGAAAACCAACTATAATTACTGAAAGGCTAATCTAGACGGACCTATAAAAATTGTAGGAGAACTTCAGGAAAATAACGAAGAACATGAATGGGATGCCAATAACTTTAAACAAGATGTCAAAAGTTATTGCAAATGGACCACTTATTTGTTTATTTATATGCACACAGAAGACAGAAGTGAAGGTAATAATAAATTAATAATTGATTACCAGCTTGGGCTAATGGACTAATTTGTCCAGCTGGGTTGGGTTGTTGCTCATGGACTAATATTGGGTTGGGTTTGACTAATTTTGTATAAAGGCCTAAAATTCAGGTGAATGTTGTCTTGGTCCATTAGACAAATACAATATAGAGAAATTCGACACAAAGTGAATTTTGTGCTGGACTCTACAAATGTTGTGTACTTCAATAAGGCTCAGAATTGTATAATACAGTCACACACCATAAAAAAAGATGGATTTAATATTGCGGGAAAGCACGGTAGAATTAATTCGTTTAAGATATCAGATTAGACTTATTAGTGAACAAATTGTCGCTCTGGATTATGTGGCTCTCAGTTGACGATTGTCTTAAAACATTTCTTCACCGGCACTCCACTTGTCTTAATTAGAAAATGAAATAACTATTCTTCCTTTTACTATATGCATGTCCTCATTTTGTTTGGATGTAAATTATTTTTTCATGTGCTCATTTTGTTTGGATTTTTTGGATGTAAAATATTTTTTAAAAAATAATTTTTGATGCTTGGTTGTCGTAAAATATTTAAGAAGAAAAAATAATATTAAAACTTAATAAAAATAATTTATTCATTAATTTTCATAAAGTTATCTTTACACCCATTTTTCAATGGATTCGACCTACACCTTTATCAAATATTGAAAAAATAAAAATAAAATAATATTTTATCTAAACAAAAAAAAATCTTTTTTGAAAAAAATATTTTTCGTCACAGAACCTCAGTGGCACTCATGAAAAGGACTAAAAGTGAAATTAGATTTGTTTTCTAGGTAAGCATGAAAAGGATTCTTATTGACCGAGTCAAAGATGCAATTTTTTCTTTGATGAAAATGTAGTGAATTTGCTCTCCTCTAAAATATGATCCTGTGATTTGATTTGTCAGACTATTGTGTGGTGTGAAATGCTTGGTGTAATTTATCGCACAAAAAAGTTATAAAAAACTTCCTTGTTCATATTCATATTAATCAAAATTGACTGACTTTTAAGTCTTCCTCTCTACTTGCATGCATGACTTTGATTATAATATGTTATTATATAATATAAAGTGCCATAATTGCCCTTAAATAAAATTATGTTTACATTTTGATTTTTTTCATAATTGTTTACATTTTGATTTGTTATATGCTAACTTAAAAATTTCGTGTTCAACACAATTTAAACAAATATATAAACACACGATGGTCCAATTTAAATTAGTTTGATTTTTCAGGAGCCCAAAATCAGAAATTAAAAGTTCCATTATGTTTAAAATAACCGGACATGTTACATGCTTGCAGGGGCACATTATTAAAATTTTATAAACAAAAGTCATTTTTGAGTGGTGGAGAAACAAATTTAGAGGAGATCAAATTAATATACTCTGAAAGATTTTTCTATGTCTAATTTACTAAAATATCAAATAATGTCAGTGAAATTAACATCACAAATACGTGCATCAATAATTGAAGTTCTAAAATCTTTAATGAATGGCTCCATTTTTTTTTTTTTTTTTTCATAATTGGTTTGTGTATAAATAAAAATAAATATTTACAGGCGCACAAAGGGTATACCCTCAAAACTTTACTGCGAAAAACAAAATAGTAGAGGACACCCTTTCCCAGTAAATAAAACGATAAGAAAATAAAATAACATAAAAGAAAAAGAAATTATTGAGACATTATATAAATCAAGAACCTAGCTCAAACAAAGTTTTCCTAGCTACATCTGTAGTTGAGCTAGAGCTGTGACCATGTAGCCTTCGGTTTCTCTCTTGCCAAATGCTCCAAAAGCCAGCAACAAGCAAAGTTTTAATCAATTTACTGGTCTGTAATAAGAACCATGTCAGCAATTCTTCAACTGACAAAATGGAATTGAAATCCACATTCCAACCAAGTGCATCTTTCAACCAGCCCCAGAATTTCATAGCAAATGGGCATTGAACAAAAATATGATCTCTAGGATCAATTTGCTGTAAACAAGTAGAACATCTAGGCGCCAGCTGCACCTTCCTTTTCTGCAGATTGAACATTGTGGGCAATCTTTCATGGAATAAAAACACTCCATGAATTGACCATCTAGGCCTGGTTTTTCCCCAACAGATAGTGGACCACATAACCTCTGGATAATGTGTTCTACATCCCTTCCAAGCTCTTTTGAAAGTAAAATCACCTCCATCCCACAACAACTTATCTGGTCTGAGATGTATAGACAAAGTTTGCAAATATTCTTTAATTGGCGTGAAAATGTCAGCTTGAAGTAGACCAAAATTCCAACCTCCTTCAATAATTAGACTAGATAATGGGGAAGACCAAGTAAAACCCAATCTTCTAACCAATCCATGCCTAAACTTCTGTAGCAGTGTTTCTCCTTCACACCATGGATCTGTCAAAACCTTGAATTTTTGCCCAGTGCCAATAGAAAATTGAACATTATTCAACATTATTTCTCTAACACCAATCAGATTTTTCCAAATATTTGAATGAGAGGCCTTTGTAACTACATTCCAGTATGTGGATCTAGAACATATCTGTTTTGAAACTAAGAGACCCATAGTCTGTCTTTACTCAATAGAAATCCCAAGCTAAGACACAATGAGCAGCAACCTGCAGGTCCTTCAACCTTCTAATAGCTAACCCACCTTCAGCTTTTGATCAACACATCATATTCCAGCTAAGAAGATGCATTTTTTTTCAGATTCTCCCTACTTTTTTTTTTTTTTTTTTCCTAAATCAGATTCTCCCGACTTCCCCATATAAAATCTCTACATAACTTCTGAATTTGATTGATGACCGCAACTGGAAGAAGAAATACACTACACCAGTACAAACAAATTGGTGTAATAACAGATTTTATCAGTTCAATCTTGCCTGCAATTGAAATCAATTTTGTACTCCATTCAGTAAGCTTCTTAGTAACTTTATCTATAAGAGCAGAGCAATGGGACCTTTTCAAACCAGAAGAGCATAGAGGAACCCCCAAATATTTTAAAGGAAGAGACTCCTCTTTGCACTGTAGCAGATTCAGAATTGCATTTTTCCTAGTAACACATTTGGAGAAAATCACACTACTCTTTTGGTAATTAATGTGGTGACCTGAAGCATCACCAAATTTTTGAAAGACCTCTTGAAGAATTCAAGCATTAGAGATTGAAGCTTTACAGGTTATCAACAAATCATCTGCAAAAAATGTGTGACAACATAATGAATTTGCTTTCTGGGTAGTTCTGGTTAAGGTAAGCTTTACAGGCTCCATTTGAATGCGCACTACTTGCATCAATAATTGAAGTTCTTAAACCGAGTCAAAGTTGATGCAAATTCTCTTTAATGGTCCGCTGAATTGATTTGTCCTCACAGATGTTTCAAAATAAACATCATGCGTTCTTTGTTTTAGTTACTTTATGTGATTATAATTGGTTTGATTGTTGTGTGGTGACTTCGTGTCAATTGATGAATCATTTTTGGTCCTTTCCCTTCTCCTTCCTATTATTAATTTATATGTTTTGTCTGAAAGAAATGACTTGGTCTTTTAGATGACTTTAAATTATAGAAAGAAAAAAACTTCCATCTTCATATTCAGACTAATCAATGGTGACTTACTTTTAAGTCTTCCTGATTTGGTTGCTGCTTCCATGACTTTGATTTTTCAAAAGATTATTTTAAATGCAGCCATCTCATACGCAAATGCCCAACTCAAAATAATGACTAAATATGAAATCTATGAGGAAAAACAAAAAAATTAGTGGTACAAATGAAAACACCGACATTGAAAGGACTCGTTTTAAATTTTCCAACTCCCTTCATACTAATCAATGGTGACTTACTTTTAAGTCTTCCTAATTTGGTTGCTTGCTTGCATGACTTTGATTTTTCAAAAGATTATTTTAAATGTACCCATCTCATACGCAAATGCCCAACTCAAAATAATGACTAAATATGAAATCTATGAGGAAAAAAAAAATTTAGTGGTACAAATGAAAACACCGACATTGAAAGGACTCTCTTTAAATTTTCCAACTCCCTTCCCCAATCTCCATCCCTCGTCTCCTTTTTGTCCTCTTTTTCTCGAGGAAATTTCTATCATCTTTTCAAATTTCCCACTTTCTTACTCTTCACCGACTTTTAGTTTTAATTTAAGGGTAAATTAGATTTAGCAAATTACATCGTTCAACGTTTATTAGTTTAACTTTTCTTTAGGTTTTAGCGCGTGTGCTCAACAACGCCCCTATCATTTTCTTTTCGCAAATCTGTTGAGCAAGTTTTATAAAATGATAAATATTTTATGTTTTCCTAGTATGGAAAGACAATAATAATCTTATTTATTGCTATATAATGACCTATTATTATTAGATTTTATTTTATAATTGGCGAATTTTGGTGTCAAAACCTGTCCGATCGAGTTGTAATTTTGTTTTATTTTGAGTCTCGATGTTGGAAGCGGAACAACAAGTGCAACCAATATTTGACTTGGTTTTCAACTATTTTTAGGTCATCCTAACATCTATAAAATTTCTATTTTATTCCTAAATTATAGATGGCTTTTTGAAACTTAGTTTACTGTAATTTTGAGAAATCCTTTGAGAGTGCAAGGATTGAAATTTGGTGGATCCGAGATATTAGTACACAATCCAGTTGATCCGACTTTAAATTACAACCACTGATGGATTATCGGTATAATAGAATAGAATAGAAAACAACTTCCATGTTCACATTCATACTAATCAATGATAACTCACTTTTAAGTCTTCCAAATTTGTTTGCTTGCATGACTTTGATTTTTCAGAATCATTTGAATGCACCTATCTCATACGTAAATGACCAACTCTCATGAAGGACTAAATAAGAAATCTATGATACACGTTAGGGGAAAAAAAATAGTGGTACACATGAAAACAGAAACATGAAAAGGACTATTTTTAAAATTTCCAACTCCCTCCCCCAATCTCCATCCTTCGTCTCCTTTTTGACCTGTTTTTCTCGAGAAATTTTTTATCATCTTTTCAATTTTTCCCCTTTCCTACTTATGACCGACTTTTAGTTTTAATTTAAGGGTAAATTAGATTGGACAAGACTTGCTACTCACCAGTGAGTAAATCATCCCTACCCGCTGCTGATATGATTCAATCGCAAATATACAAATAGTTTGTAATTACAAAATCTTAAAAGTGATAAATAAGGAAATTGGAAAAGAATACACAAATAGTTTGTAATTACAAAATTTGAAAAGTAATAAACAATGAAATCAGAGAGAGTGACTGAATTTATTCCAAAAAAAGTTATTTTCTTTCCTGATTTTATAATTATAGTTTATTTGTGCATTTCTGATTGTACAACATTAGTGATTAGTGGGAAAAAAATCTACTTTAGTTGCTCTCTCACTGGACTATGTACAACAACATGTGTAAATTAACGTCTTTGTGCATTTGCGTATGGCTCAGAGAGAGAGATAGAGAGAGATTTGAATGTATTGATTAATTAATTTGAAGATGGTTGCAATTAAAGTAGTCCTCTGAAACATCAAAAGTCATGCAATCAATTAGCAAAAGAAAATGACTTGCAATTAAAAGTCAGTCAACAGTAATAATGGCCAGTAGGAGAGATGAAGAAATAGAGGATTGATTTTTCTATGTTTAATTTACTAAAATATCAAATAATGTCAGTGTAATTAATATCACAAATACGTGCATCAATAATTGAAGTTCCAAAATCTTTAATGAACGGCTCCATTTGAATGCTACCTACATCAATAATTGAAGTTTTTAATGACCAAGTCAAAATTGATGCAACTTTCTCTTTAATAGTTATGTGATTTGATTTGTCTTCACAAGTTTCTGTTGTCCAAACCACGGTCTAAGTATACTATATACTATAGTATTATTTATTTAAATATTATGTAAAATATAATGTTTATATATATATAATGAATGATTATAAAATAATAATTTATATATATGATTACTTATAATATATAGTTTAATATAATCAAATAAAACTATAAAATAAAGGAACCTGATTAAAAGTCGAGGCTATAATTTTATTCTATGTCCTTAAGATAGATTCACCCCGCTATGGTGCTAACGGACTAGTAGCGTCTATCTCACAGGATACAACGACTTATTTTCTTTCGGTAGTAGCACTGCAAACCAAAGGAATAGGCGAACTGGCTCAATGTAGTACTCTCTGACTCAAACTTGGACTCGGAGTGATTGACTAAGGCTCGAACTCAAATACTAAAGTTCGAACCCACAGACTAAAGAAAGAAAGAGGAAGAAGAAAAATTCAAAAGAAGAGAAGACTTCTCTGAATTTTGGTGTGATTTGCAAATGATCCAAAGGGGGGTATTTATAGGTAGTAAGGTGCCTTTTCGGGTGGGTGCAACCATGGATTATGATGGTTCGGAAAAAGGTGTAACCCTTTGAAACAACTAAAAAGTGATTTTTTTTAAAAAAAAAATTAAAAGGTGTAACCCTTTAGAAAAACTAAAATATAGTTTTTTAATTTAAAAGGTGTAACCTTTTAGAAAAACTAAAAAGTAGTTTTTTAATTCAAAAAACCAACCACCCAAAAAATCCACCCATTTTTGAAACCCATTTAAATAAGCCCAGCCCAAAAATAGGCCCAATCCAAAATTCCATTTAATAAAAGGAATAATCCGGACTTTATAATTAGGCCCAAGCCCAAGCCCAAGCCCAAGCCCAAGCCCAAGCCCAAATCCAAGCCCAAGCTTGACTTATTTAAACTTCAATTGGTTTCAACATTTTTTCCATTTAGGCTTTTCAAACACCTCACTTTGGATCTCATTTCTCATTCACCCGGAAACGGATTTGAGAAAGTAAATATACCACGTTCATCTCATTGCGAAGAGGAACGCGCTGGTCTATAGATCCGCAAAAAATTCTTAGCAAAATCTATTCAATTCTCATCCAGAGTTTATATTTTTTAATGCCTCCGTTTCCAACAATCCCCTACATGAATGGAAATTTGCGCACATTACAAATGAAGAAGATACAGACACTAGAGAGAGTACTATTAGAAAGTAACTGCATCGGGACGGGATAGGTAGTTTTTGGCCTTGAACCTTCCCTAGTGTATTACTATCGGATTTACTGGCTAACTAGTGAACATGATGTCTTGAACTATTCAGCCGTTGATGTAAACCAAGACAATAGTAAACACACAATTCCTTCCCACACAAAGTCGGTTCTCATGGTTGTGTTCATATGGCCCTGAACAACTCCTGGTATTTCATGAGCGCTCTAGAAAACTTAGCCTTACAAGTTCTTATAGAAGCGGCCCCACTTCACACTCATATAGGTGACTTCTTATTAAGAGTATCCTATTATACCCCACTTGAAATTTTCAAGGTATAAAAGTCATTAAAAGCATAGCTTATCCTACTTATCGCTGTAGGTAGCACTGTTTTATCATAAAAATGGGTAGAAGATTAAATCTTTCCAGTGTTTCTGGTGAGCCATTCAGAATTTCTGTTGTCCCTTTGAACCTAGATCTTGGGATCTCCAGTCAACTAGGTTGGGTTTCCATTAAGATGACTCGT